GCCACGCCCCAGACCGCCCACCGCGACCCCCCCTCCGCTCCCCCCCCGCACAGAATTCCTTCCGTCACGGACCTGAAACGTTAGGAAACCCTGTACCTTGGACAGATGTTTGGAGAAGCTGCTGCTCTGGAGGGAACTGTGAAAACACTGAGAGAAAGGTCTCCAGTCTGACGAGGCTGCGAACAGAAGATCAGACCAACGGAACAAGTCAGAGGACGGGACGGTGTCGTCCACGGGACGGTGTCGTCCACGGGACGTCTCGGTGTGAACAGAAATGTTGGGAAGAAGCTGTGGTGCAGCAATACACAAAAAGTCCTTTATTGTGGTTTTTTTTGTCTTTTTCACTTTTCATCGATGGCATTTCATCACCTCTGTACAACAAAAGAACAGCTTTGACTGAAACTGGAAACCCAAGAAAATGAAAACATATCAAATAAAGTCAGAACTCCCTCCTGGACCCCACCGCTCTCTCTGTGTGTGTCTGTGTGTGTCTGTCTGTGTGTGTGTGTGGGTCCAGTCTGATGCAGCGTTCTGGGTTTCAGTCCAGCTGTTTCTGTCTAGTCTGAGGTTGGATCCTGATCCTGATCCTGGTCCTGGTTCTGGTTCTGGTTCTGGAGGATGGCGGTCAGATGCGGGTCAGTTGGTGCCAGAGGCTGGACGGCAGGATGCTCTCCACCTTCTCCATGATGAAGTTGAGAGGAGCGAAGAGTGTACTGAGGAACTGTACGGAGCAGAAGACACGACAGGTCACCACAGGTCACCAGAGGTCACGACAGGTCACCACAACACACAAGAAAACACAACAAGTGTGTGTGTGTGTGTGTGTGTGTATCTGCTAATGACGTGGGTCTCATCAATGAGCTCAGTCACATCCAGAGCCTCAGAGAGGAGGGTGCAGGACAAACAGCGCCCTCTGCTGGCTAAATAATACTAACAAGTAACTAATAAGTCATATTTTTGCACCAATCTGTTTTTCACACATTGTCCAGTAGGGGCGTTTGTCCCCAGTCTTCTACTGTTCAGTTGGTGTTTGTGACAAAGGTGACAGTGTGTGTGTGTGTGTGTGTATAAACTCACAGCTTTAGCAAACACTCCCATGAGCTCAGGGAACTGGTGTGTGAGCAGAGCCAACATGGCGGTGAAGGAGCAGAGTCCAGCTGTGAAGAGGATGAAGAAGGGCAGCTCCTTCTTGGGGTAGACTGACACCTCGTGGAACACTGCTTCCACACATCACACACACACACACACACACACACACAGATGTTATAATGTTAGTTGGTCAGTTTAGAACGTCACGCTGGAGTTGATGAGTCAGTGATGAGTCAGTGATGAGTCACAGGTTCAGAACAGAAGTCAAACGTAAACTGTACAACTTCATCCACTGTATTTACTTCATTAGCTTCAACAATATGATGTTGTTGTTGTTGTTGTTGTTCTACACACAGTTATTGTCACAAACAATCATGGATTTAATTGTGGCTTTTTTTCTAGGACAATGAACGTTAATAAATATAATTACTTTAGCTGAGTTAGCTAACAGTTAGCCAACAGTTAGCCAAAAGTTAGCCAACAGTTAGCCAACAATTAGCCACCAGTGCTAAGGGGTGATCAGGTGTCATAACTACTGACACAACATTAGTAGTGAGCGCCCCCTGCACCGTGAAGTTAACATTACACACAGACTCTTAAAGAGATGAAGTTGACGCCAACGTTTAAAAAAAAAACGTCTCCTCTCCCTCT